CTTGGGCCCTCATAGATGTCCACAGACCAATGAGTCTAATTAAAGAGGTTTAGGGTCCATTAAGGCTATTGTAATTACTTATGGCTCAGCACAGCCCATTAACGGTAATCATATTCATCTTAGGCCCATTATGGCCCAAAATGTAAGTTTCGTGATAGTAGGTCCCATTAGAGTCCATATAAGGGTTTCCAGGCCCAAAGTAGTTGAATTTGAATGCTTATTGGTCCATTAGGCCCAATAAGGAAATCCTAGTCCAATATGGATTCAAATCGGGATTCTTAGGGGTTTTAGAATCTTAGTTAAACACATGAGGTATATTTAAATGAGCATAGAGTATGATTTTCTCTTAGAGTACAAGTTATTACACTAGGTGAATGATTACATGAGAGTAGAATCTCCTAGCAAAAATGCCAGTTGTATAATTTTGTATACTACAACATCCTATGGGGCACATACAACCTTAAATGCCTTAGATCTATGTTTTCTCTAATTATACATGTAATGGTATTTCCAAAGCGTTAAGCCTATAACTAGCTTGCAATTGACATAAACAATGTGAAATTGTAAAGACCCAATTGTCACGTCCGAAAATTTCGTTCGAAAACATTACTTTAGGAAAACATTAGCAATTAAAAACATTGTTTGATCAAACCATAACATAACGTAAACCATGTCTAAAAGCCAAACCATACAATCCCATCAAAATATCAGAGTACAAATCCCAGTGAATCTCGTAAATGCGGAAACCAGAGTGTGTGCATGATGTGCTGCTACCGCACCAGCTCCTTCCCCTTCGGTGAAAAAGGTACCTGAAAACAAAACTGTAAAACGTAAGCACAAAGCTTAGCGAGTTCCCCCAACGTTCCACATACCATACAAACACATAACATGCATACTGCCAGGCTATTATGGGGTGCCTGACTACCCGGTACGGCCATTCTGGGGTACCGACCTACCCATACGGCCATTCTGGGGTGCCGTCCTACCCGTGTCAAGCCATTCTGGGGTGCTGACTACCCATGTCAAGCCATTCTGGGGTGTTGACTACCCATCGATCCTAACAACCGATCCTCGGTGACTGGTCCCCTCCTACTACCTCTATCGCATAACATAACAGGCCAACATACAAACATATCATCACATACTGTCAGACATTTTTGGGGTATCTGACTACCCTGCGATCCTAACAACCGAACTCTACTACTATCGCATATGACGTATCATGCTAGCATATAACATATCAGGTAATAGCAAACCCAGATGATATCACAAAGACAATCATCTATCATACGTCTCCTACTGGTGGACTGGCATTGTGGCCTTAGACCCCACCACTACTGGAAGGTAACTCACCTCAAAGTAGCTGCTGAACTGATCGGGAACTGACTGACTGCTGCTGCTGCAGCTCCGGAAATCCTCCGGCTGCAATTCCCACAACATACTCACTCAAACACTGCTAACTGTCCTTTGGGTAAAATGACCATTTCACCCCAGGTCTAGCCCTGAGTCCAAGTCAGAGTCAACTTTCAGTTGACCCGACTCGCCGAGTTGGCTCACCAACTCGCTGAGTTCCTATCCAGACGATTGTCCTGAGTCCCTGATTCTACTCGTCGAGTTAGGCTATGACTCGACGAGTTCTTCTTCTAAACTGACATTGAAGTTCTTCATCCTACTCACCGAGTTGTATGAACAACTCGTCGAGTTCATCTTCATCCGATGAACACTCATGCTTAGACTCGCCGAGTTGTATGAACAACTCGCCGAGTCTGTTCTTGATCTATGAAGATTGCCTTGGACTCGCCGAGCCAGGCCATGACTCGCCGAGTCCTACCATGGGTGAGTTCAGCTTCCAACTCACCGAGTCACCCCCTGTGACTCACTGCTCAAACTCGATACAACATAAAGGGACCAATTCGGTGACTCGCGAGCAGACTCGCCGAGTCACATGAACGACTCGCCGAGTCGTCGCCATGCATCCGTTAAATACACCGATTTGTTCGATTTCAGTCCATGCCATTCATAGATCTGGGCTTCTAAGACACAAATCACACGTAAAGTTTCCAACTTTACGTGTAGATATTCACCAATATGGATTTTAGGGCTCAAAGAGCACCAAAAGGGGTAGATCTAGGGCTTTCATGCAATATGACCCCATAAAGGCATTAGATCCAAGCTCCGGGGACTAAATCATGCCTAGGTCTAAAGGCTAACAACTTATTACAACCCACAATGCACAAACAAGCTTGGGGAATGGCTCAAGAAGGACTTCCATGAAGCTAAAAGAGACTACAAGCTTGAAAACAGAGGGGAAACGAGCTATACCTCAAGGAAAACGTTGAGATGACACAAAGATGCCTGGCCTCCTTCTCCTCTTCTTGATCTACTCTTCTTTCTCCTCAAAATCTTCAAGAACACACCAAAACACTTCAATCTCTCAAGGAAATAAGGGTATAAACGATGTTGGGAGCTCTGAGGGTGCATGGGGGTGAGTTTGGGGCGGAAATGAGGGTTTAAATAGGGTGCAAACCCTTGAAATTTAGGGTTTCATCCAGCAGCGGTGACTCGCCGAGTCCAGGATATGGACTCGCCGAGTCCAGGATATGGACTCGCCGAGTCGCCAACTTAAACGTGTCCTGAGTCTCGTCCCTACTCGGCGAGTCGGACCTATGACTCGCCGAGTCCAAGGCTAAAATGGGAAATACTCAAATAAAATTTACATACCAGGAACCAGGTGCTACAATAAGATTCGAGTATTCGATTCAACCCACGCTTATCTGAATCACTTCATGGATTTTATCATGAGTGATTTTGAAACGGAGATATGTGAGTTGTAGTTGTGAGTCGGTTGCACATTGTCATATGTAAATGCACCAGTCACTTGGTGTTATAAAATATATTGTTATGTGTAATTTGATGAGTGAGTACAAGCAAAGATTTGGGTCGAAGTTTATCCTTTCCTTTTACCCCATGTGGATAAAATTGATATCCGTGGGACCCTCGATGATTTAGTGATGACACCTAAGTGCTTGGCCAAGCCTGGACTGATTTGATTTGTTCAATTAGTCAGTTGTCATAAACCGGAAATCGGGAAACAATAGATGGATAGAGAGAATGATTAAAATCCATGTCTCGTGTACATATGCTATCTAGAATAGAGGAATATATGATCCCTTATCTAATGGACGCGTCATTGACTAGTCCAGAATTCGACGGCGGCTTTTAAGAGCTACAATTGCTAGTCGGGTTGTGGAGTCGTACTTGCAATAATAGTTATTAAACTTATCCAAGTGGGAGACTGTTGGATTAGGTGTCTAAACTCATAACTATAATTGGTATGTAATTGACCCGAGAGTAGCATGGTCTATTTGGGTTGCATATCACCCGGACAATTTGATAGGATAGACTTTTGAAAAGAGGTTATTTGTGATTTGTTAATATATTATAAGTTCTAATATATTAACATGAAATCATATTATTTAATTAGTATTGACCAAAAATTAATTGGAATTATTTTAGTGATCAAAAGAGACTAATTAAAATATAAGGGGATTGATTTGGTAAATCAATCATTCTTATGGTGTGGGCTTATGGTTATTTAGGATTGGCTAAACCAATATGGTAGTCCATGGATAGTCCATGGAGGTTTTTAACTCGTGGATACTAAGTAAGATGAAAAGTCATTCACATTAGGGTTTACATGGATGTAACCCTAATCCTAGCCACACTATATGTGACAACTCGACTATTTTTACGTTAACGTTAGCCGATTCCATTAAATAAATTTTGATTTTTTATTTAGTTTCCATCAGATTCTTATGGTTTGGAAAATCATTTAAGTTATATAATTAAGTTTTATATAAGAGTCAGAACCAAAATCGTGCGAAAACCCGAGTTTATTTGAAAATCAACGAAAACCGGCATGTCTGGTGTTTACGACCGTAAACCAGTTCACGGTTGGTGGGCCCCCACTAACCATGAACCCAACCTATATATATGTACTCCTACCCCTCATTTACATTTTTTTGGCCGAAAACTCACCTATTCTCTCTCTAAACTCTCAACCGCAAACACAAAAAATACCCTCTTTTTCTTCCGAAAATAATCAAAAACTACACTTGGGTGTTATTGTGGAACCTCTAAAACGCGTTTTTCATCAAATCCAATATTGTCATTCTTGAGTTCACGACCGCAAACCCTTCAAATCTTCAAATGTCGAAATCAGTTCACGGTCGTGAACCCTTCAAACCTTCATATATATATATATATATATATATATATATATATATATATATATATATATATATATATATATATATATATATATATATATATATATACACAGTGTTCTAAAAGGCGCGCCATGGCGTGAGGCGCGGCGTCGCCGTTACGAAAAGCTTCATAACGTTGTTGTTAGGTGTGGCGCGTGGCAAGGCGTGATATGGCGTGCCATGGCGCGTTATGGCGTGTTATGGCGCGTGTTTTTTTCGTTTGAGACACGTTTTTTTTGCTCTTTTTTATACCTTTTCTAATCGGACATACAAGTATTGTGTTTTTTTATTAACTTTCTGTTATTAGTTGTTGATATAACATTTTTAAAAACTAGGTATATTTGATATAAATTTATATTTATGTGGTAATATAATTACAAATGAATACAAAATCATCGCCTTACATTACGCCTTGAAAAACATCATGGCTCGTCATAACTCGTTAAGCTTGAGGCTTGGCCTTGCCGCCACGCCACGCCTCATGCTTTTTAGAACCTTGTGTATATATATATATATATATATATATATATATATATATATATATATATATATATATATATATATCGAGCTTGCTACGAGGCACCACCCTACGTCACTCTCCCTCGTCTCCTTACTTCACCAGCGAAGAGGACCACCACAGTCAACTGTGGCAAACTCTCCACCTCCTCTTTTCGTAACCAACCACCGCAAATGCTCCATCACCGCCATTGTTTTCCCTTGGTCCCTCTTCGATCAGCAAATGGTAAACGAAGCAGTAAATCCGCCATTGCCATCGCAACCATCCGTCATCGTCGTTTCCAACACCACATGATGTCTTCGTTGCCCTTCTACCATCGCTGCAGTTTCAGCCCCACCACCACCCGTTCCTGCTTTTGTTGGTAAGACCACCACTGTCGTTTCTTTGGAGCTATTTGGGAATTTCTCTACAAATGAATTTACTGGATGCCATTGTTAATGAGGTCTTGAAGGTTTTTGCAAATCACGTGGTTAAAGTTTTTCCATATTTAAGACAAATCAACAATTATGTTTTTGCGGATTTTGTACTCAAATTCCGATTGAATTTCTCAATTGATTGTTTGAAACGTTAAAGGAGACAAGATGGAGAAGTTTGGTTTACTTGAATTTTAATTTTGATTAGTTGGCTGATTTGACTTTTAAAATTAGTAATATCAGTTTTATATGTGTCATGTAGTATATTTATCTGTAGTTTAGGTAACAAGACTAAAAATACAGGTTTGCTTACAACTTTGTTCCATTATAAAGTTATAAAAAAAAATTAAGCGATTAAAAAGATAAACCCTTAAATGTTGATACTCGTATGTGTTAGAAAGAATTCGTATGTGTTAGAAAGAATTTTAAAAGGATATTTATTTGTATCCGATATCCATTTACCGTCGTACGGATATGCTGTTTTGTTTCACATTTCTTTTTATTAAAATGGCGACGCACATACTCGTAAACTACACTTGAATTGTGCATATGTGCCAATGAAATTTGAATCCTCACACGAACATTTCACCATGCTAACAGGCCAAATGCCTATTAGTGGTAATTTAAAACGGACACAAGGGATACTCGTATAAGTTGAAGATACAACTAGTACAAACCCAAACAGTGATCAGATTATCGTATACCCAAAATAAAAGTCGACCTCATTTTATTAGCATCAAAAAGTGCTAAAATGAGCCAAGGAACATAATATAAGATTTTATCCTCTAAAACATTTTTAGAAGATAAAAATCTGCATGTATATAATAAATACCTTAGCTTCTTATTCATTACAAAGAGGATCTGATTTGTTAAATCGGCGCAGTTGGGCTATCGAGATCTCGAAAACAGGTGGGCAAGTCCTTGAATTTTCTCATTCAATCGTGTCTCGTCAACAACAAATTGGGAAACATGAGAAGCAATTGAACCATTGGTTGCCACCAGCTTTAGGGGTTGTGGCGGGAGCTGCAGGCGGTGGTGTAGTTTCTGCCTCCGCTGCTCCAGCAGGCGTTGGCGGCGTTGATGATGGTGACTGAGGTTTTCCAGCTTCTTCCTTCACCGGACTCCCCTCTGCAAGTCTGAGAGTAGCAAACACCATAAGCTCGATTCTACAAATCATGAATCATCAGTATCACCCATGGATTATTAGAAACTTACAAAGGGAATGCAAATGAACCAGTGCTTTGGGAACTTGAATCCGAATTACGAGTCCCCTCCGTCGGAACCCTAGAATTTGGACTGGACTCCCAATCCGGTGAGCTTTCCTTTCCCCTTACGAAATCGGTTGGTGATGCATTTAGGGTTTCAAGGAGTTCTTCCTTCTCTTCGGCACTCTTCCGTTCGTCTTCTACTGTTGTTTCCACCATCGGGCTTATCAAACTGCCATGTGGCGTAAAACATGAATACTCGAATCCATCGTCCAGCCAGTGAAGTTTTCCAGACTGGCTTATAAAAAAATCACTATCCATGGAGAAGCTATTGCTCCCCATGTGGATACTGAATAACGATTCATTCGACGCTGCACTCCATTCCGAATCATCACTCTGTTTTGGAGAAAATATAGATGAGGGGATCCTGTTTGGATCATAGTCATCGGAATGCGCCATCACTTGGATCGGAGGGGATTGTATTGGAGATGCATTTGATGTATCGAAATCAGAGAATCGTGGTGAAGCCATTGATGATAAATTCACTGTTAGTCTCCCAGATGAACTCGTTTTTGCTGATTCCGTATTATTTGATCTTAGCGAGATAGATTCGTTTTCTTCAAATTCTGGGAATTTCACATCATTTTCACCACCATTTACTTCCATTGGATGTGAAGACGATGAGGAAGAGGAAGAAGAGAAAGAAGAGGAAGACGCACGGCCAACCATCTTGTCATCATCTTTGACGCTGTAAGTAACATCAAACTCCGAATCTAGGTGTTCACTGCTACCACTCCCGTTCTTGTGTTTCATTTTGTTTTGTTCAACAGATAAACTAATGTCTAATGCTGTAAAACGAAAATCGTGTGCGTAGCTATCAATCAGTCCATGAAGCCATGAATTATAATCATTCCTATGATAATCTAAAATTCAAATTTTTTTTCTCAAATTAACTTACTACTAGTTAATCAAGACATTTACGGATCTGTGAGAAATAGATTCTATGAATTTTATGATATAATGATGATCATATATGCATGGCTTCAAAATTGACGATGAGAAGGAAAACTCTGGTTTCGTGGCAACGATTTACAGTTCTCGCGATTGCAATTTGAACAAAGACGTAACAATCAAATCACGAGATGAAAATTTTGAAACGTCAATGGATTCATGCATCGTTATGAAACGAATGATGATTCATAGAACGACATGGAAAATCGAAAATTTGTGAGTAACTGAACTTACTTGAACATGAACATTCCCCTTATAGATGGAACCCTACGGGTTAAGATCGCCGGCAGCACCAATGTTGCCCTAAATTTTAACGATGAAACCTCGGGGCACGAGATAGAAGATAAAGGGGAAAAAGTTTTGTATAGAGGGAAGAACAGGGTTTGATGATCGAATAACAGAAGGCTGAGCGCCCATTTAGGAAACGCTCATCTGTATGTGTCTCTTTTCTTTTCATATTTGACCGGTATTTCTGTTTGTCAGAAGGTTTAGGGATGATTTTAGGAATAAAACAAAAGATAAAGGGGTGAAAATGTAAGTTACAGAATTCTTCTATAACATAACGTTAACCGTTCAAAAGCGTTCATATATCTTTCACTTATCTACACTCTTGCACGCCATAGCCATGGAAGCAGCAATGCAGAAACAGCTTTTTCCCAACCATCTGCTAATTTCAGCAAGAACACCGTCATTTGTCCACCAGAAATCGAGTTTTTCAACTCGATTTTTGAGTTACTCCGGTTTCCCAAAATTTCCGATTGTTGAACGTCGTCATAGGAACGCAAACGCAACGAAGGCAAGGTTTTTGTTTTTGCTCTCTAATATTTCTTCTTTTACCGATTGTTGATATGCGGTTTGTAGTATTTAAATAGATTAATGCGAGGAGAAGGAGATCAAACATGGAAACGGATACGTATGTATTAATGGAGCCAGGGAAGGCTGAAGAATTTGTAGATGAGGAAGAACTGAGAGTCAGATTGAAGAACTGGCTAGAAAATTGGCCAGGCACATCGCTTCCTCCTGATCTTGCAAGATTTGAATCCATTGATGATGCTGTTTCCTTCCTTGTAAAGTCAGTTTGTGAACTCGAAATTGATGGAGATGTTGGATCGATTCAGTGGTATGAAGTTAGTTTGGAATGAAATCATTCAAGCAATTTGCAATTACAATTTACAAATCAATTAAATGCCATAGTTTTGCCTCCATTCAGTTCAGTCCAATCGAGTATAAATCAATATATAAGCTTTATATCATTTAAAAACAGTTTCACAAGGTTCAATCAAACACAATGAGATTCAAATAATTTCTAACCAAAACCATATTTGAGCAAATCGATCAAGTTTTAAGAGCACCGAGATCTTGGAACTTGGACGCTTGAATCTGCAAGTGTCACGGGATCTTACATCAATTAACATAGCACAAAAGATAATCAAAGGTATGACAACTGAAGCATGTGTGCATCATGAGGTTTTACCTTGTGTTGTTGATTTTTAGTAAACGAGGGTGGTAAGAGACCCGATGATTTGTTAGACTTTGTTCTAGCAAGAAGTCCTTTTGAAACAGGGGACATGATCTGATCAGTTGGGCTTTTATACCTACAAAAAACCACCAAAATATTTAATTTTTGAATTGAAAAAAGGAGAAAGAAATAGTCGCTTACATTTCTGGATATTTGAATGCTTTTGGAACTGTAAGACGATCAGGGATGGCGAGTTTAGCAGAACCACCGGCCGGAGATGGAGAATTCATCTGAAGTGGTTGAATTGGGGGTGGTGTTGACGGAGACTTTTGATCCATGGCTGGTGACTTATGAATTATGATCGAGTGTTTGAGTTTAGATATAAGAGGGAGGAAGGTCTCTTTTTAAGGGTTGAAATGAAATCAAAATGCTAGGGTTTGGTTTTATTCAGGGTTTTGTCAGTGTGGAAGACGGTAAAGTCGGAGGATAAGTAGACCGTTGGAGGAACAAGGTAGTGCTTAACGGTCCAATTTAGTGGGCCAATGGTGGCTGCGACTTATTTTATGTTTGACTACAAAACTATGCATTTAATATTGTATTTTTACTTTTTAGTAATCTCGTATATAAATTCTTCCTTAAAATATCAAAAACATTATATATATATATATATATATATATATATATATATATATATATATATATATATATATATATATATATGATTGGGTGGGAAGTTTTAAGTTATTTTATAATAATTAATGTTGTTAAGATTATCCAAAAAAAAAAAGGTCTAGAATCGTTTGGTCAAATTGAAACATATATTATACATTTTTTTTGTTTGCATATTGAATTCAATGCATATCAGTAAACGGACAACAAGCTGTGCCGTTAGCCTTTTTTGGATGGCAAAACTTATTTTTTTGAAAACAACATTTGTGGATCTAGGAGATATGACATTAGAATGTATGACTCGTTGGACTCTGTTAAGGAGCTCCACCGCCTCTGGTGCGAGAAAACCAAATGTATCGAATGCAAAAGGAACAAACACATGTTGATTTTCTCTACATGCATTGTCGTGCTTTACCACTTTGCACGCAACGGCTTTCAAAGCGGCATGCCCAACTGTGAAACCTCCGCTCCCCAAACCAACGAGAGGAGATACACCAGTAAGATCCACGCACGCATGCTTCTCTCCTATCAATCCAAAGACCAAAATGTCAGCCGGTCTAAGTGTGGACCTGCCATCCTGCGGGTCCGTCAAAAAGGTCACTGGCACTTCTTTCTTCACAGATATACCAGCACGCCGACAAGCATCAAAGAGAACATTCCGAACCACATCATGTCTATACTTGAAACCAAGGAGCTCTCTACAATGAACCGCGTGTTCCCCAAAGGTATCCAAACATGCCTTGCGACAAACTGGGCATATCTCGTCAGTTGGGAATATGAGAATCATGAGGCGGTAACGAAGGATAGTTCGGTACTCCACATGAGACATATGCTAGCCAAGACCATCAATAGGGATAGTTAGCAGAAAATCCTGAGCATGAGGCGCCCGCAGACACTCAAAGACTGCTTTCTGTCTGACAGTCATATCGAAGTTGACTTCCATATCTTGGACGATTTTGCAAAAAAGGGCACACGCCAAAGCTTTTTGGGATATAGGGGGACGGTGTCCTTATTAGTGAAACCGCTACAGTCAAATATTAGTGAAACCACTACATTCTAAAGATTAATGTGCATGGAAATTTACTAGGTAACGAACAATATTAACCATATTTATCTCATTAAAAAAAATAACCAATGTTCGGAACAAATTATTCCGGAGTAATAATATTTGTTTCAAAATTGGTGAAGTTTGACGTAAAATAGTCTAAAATATGACATTTTAGAAATTATATTTATTTCAGACTTTTTTGGGTTGACGATATATGACATAAAATAGTTGAGTTGATAAAATTATTTCAAGTTGTTCATATCAATTTAGAACAATTAATTTGGGACTTATTTAATGTTGATTTAATTTTCATTTAGAGTATCCACTTATTTGGTTCGAATTAAGATTAAAGTAGTTTGTGTAACCGTTTGATTTGGATGTCTTAGATTCTTTGTTGGGTCCATTAGATTGTGTAAGCACACTCACCAATATCACCTCCACCAACGTTTTTTTTTTCAACATCTTTTTCTTCATGCATCGCCTTTTCCTTCTCAATGTCTGTGTTGTAACATCTTATTTAAAATAAAATAATTAAATAATAAACTCGAAACCCCGAGAAGCAACTTTTATTATTATTTTATATTATTATAGCCCCAAAATCAATTAATAATTATCGGGATGTCCGTTTCGGGGTTAAAGTGTAATTTCATGATTTATTTTGAAAATGGTTTTAGAAGGTAGGGTGTAATTGGTAACTTTCAGACTTATTCTAGAAGGATTTATAGGAGCAGGGGGGTAAATGGTAAATTTTGGGGTTTAATTTGAAATAAGAAGGATAAGGAGGGACTGGAAGTGTCAATAGGGTCAAAGATTAAGATGGGATAGGTGCGTATAAATGCATTAGACATGCATTCCTAACCCTAACCCTACTTTCAAACACCAACTGCCACTCTCCCTTCAACCTCTCTCCAACCGTCACCCCCCCCCCCTTTCCTCCAATCTCCGACGCTACTACACCCTCCATTGCCGTCAAGTCGCACACCACCTCGGTTGGGGTCCTAAACCACCGGAGCAACCACCACTCGCTCATCCTAACATCGGGAAAACGAAGTTGTGTGCGTGGCTGCCATCGTTGCTCGTTAGACTGCCCTTCAGTCTTCATCGTCGCCATGGAAGCCTTCATCCACCACCTTACGAACCTCCAACCGCTAGTGCCGGCAACAGGAAGCGATGGTGTGGCTTGTGAACCACCAAGATTTGTTGCCCCTGTTGCGCTGAAACGGTGGAAGACATAGTCACCACCATCGTCGCTGTTTCGTGCTGCCAATCGTTCGTTATCCCTCCGCCACCGTCCTCCTCTTCCAAGACTGAAGTACAAACGAGGTGGGTCGTTTATACTCGTGTATGGATGTGTATTGCAGAATATACTGGCGTGTGTGTGCGTTTGGTCGGCCAGAAGTGGAAAAGAACCACCATGACTGTCAACCATGGTGGTTGTTGTCATTGTTCCCTTTTCTGCAACCACCAGCCGCTGTTTGGTGGTGGCTATGTGTGTGAGTTATAGTTTGTGAATGTATTTTGTTGGTTTGATGTTGTATGGCCTTTGTTTGGCCGGAATCCACGAGAACAATCACCACCACCACCACCACCGTGAGGTAGTGGCTGCCACCATTTACCACCACCGGCCACCACAAGGTGGTTGTGTGTGTGTACGTGTGTGTGTGTTTAACTTAGTGCGCGTGAGTGTGTTATTTGAGATTTGCATTGTAAAAGTGTAATAGGGTAGGAATAAACAAAAGAAAAATCATAACCACCGCCGTAAGGTGGTGGCAACCGCCTCCTGTCGCCACCAGCCGCCGTGTTGGGTGGCGGTGTGCCTCGTTTGCGTTTTGACTCGTTTGACATGCTTGGACAGAATGGGCCTAATGAAACCCTAATGGGCCCAATGAAGCCCCAATTGACTTAAAATCCCAATCATGTTACTAATGGGCTAGTATTGGGTTGGAAACCTTAAGTAGGGTTTGGAAAACCCTAATGTCATGAAACCCTAATTTTGGGGATTTATCGGGATCAACACTTAAATTAATTACTAAACTAAAAATGTTAATTAATAATCATTTGCAAATTAACAAAAGGCAATATTGGACTCAATGGATTAAGTCCTTAATGGGTTAAGTAGGAACACTTAACCCTAATCGTTATTTCATGTGAAAACCCTAATTTGATTTGGGCCTTCCTATTGTGCCTTGGTGATTGGACTATTGATGACCTATCCAAGAACAAGTAAATGGACCAAAATAATTGGATGAGTTTTAAGATAAGGCCCATGTAAAGGACTTGGGCCTAATTTGGAAAATTGGGCTATAGATGGGACATAACTGGGCCTCGTTGATTATGAGATATTGGTCTATTAGCATTGTTAGATTAGGTGTCTAAGCCCATAACTATTTTGGTATGTACTTGATCTGATTATAAACATGGTCCTTTTGGGTTGCCTTCACCATAACAACTGATATGATGAATTATAGAGAAAGAAGATAATTATGGATTATTAATATATTATAAGAATAATATATTAATTGAGAAATCATATTATTTAATTAGTATTGATCATAAATTAATTTAAAATTAATTTGGTGATTAAAAGAAACTGATTAAATTGATAGAGACTGATTATGTAAATCAGTAATATTTATACTTTGGGCTCATGGACCATATTGGTTTAGGGTGGATGAAATCTCTATGAGAGTCCATAAAGATTTCGTCCATGGCATGTCCAATAAGGGGTCCATATGTTGCTTAGGGCCTAAGTAAGGAAATTAGGGTTTCCAAGTTGATAACCCTAGAAGCCTCAACTATAAAAGGATCCCTAAATGCTCCTAAAACATATCTAACCCTTCTAAGAGAATCCTTGGATGTTTTTGAAGCCTTTCCTCTCTCATTTGTTCTTCTTTGTTGCTAGTGGTGTTTGTGACTCCATTAGAGGTGCAACATTTGAGGCAATAGGCTTTCAGAAGTCAACTTTC